TTTACAATCTGCCTTCTCTCCTACTGCTGCATTAATGCCACTGACCTCCTAATTGACAACTCTAATGAACACACTTTCAAATGTTTTATAGTGTGTTTTACCTAGTTACAAGAGGGATACTCATCATGAACAAAGTTATGACATATGACAAACTACAGGAAAAATGCACTATATAATAGGCAAGGGTAAGTATCCCTAATAAATACAGTGTTCTTGCAAATCAATTCAACATACAAGGTCTGCCTAGAAAGTATCCAGCCATGTACTATGACAAATGGAAATATTTATTGAAGAAGATACAAGATACAGTAACATTGTACATAGGACAATGATGCCTCAGTCCCTTTCAAAGTCATTACCTTGGAACCTCACACAGTTCTCCCAATCGCCACCAGCTGCCTTGTCATATTTCCCTGAGTCTCACTGATGGTCTAAAATCTCTTCCCTTTTAAAGGTGATTTTGGTTTTGGAAATAGCTAGAAGTCTCAGGGTGCCAAATCTGAGCTGTAGAGGGGCTGAGTCACCTGGGTGATTTGATGTTTTGCCAAAAAACTCTGCAGGAGACATGATGCATGAGCACACACATGGTCGTGATGAAGCTGACAATCACCAGTTGCCCATAGCTGTGGCCTCCTTAATCATCCAAATAATTTCCATGGAGGAATGTTCAAGCTTAATGCAAAATTTGATACAGATTTGTTGCCCTACTTACTCAGTCAGTTTGAATGTGACAGCCACACAGTACCCATGGTCACTCAACAACATCTACCACTCCCACTGACTAGTACAGTGAAGTCATTATTGTTCATGCATGCACATTCCAGTCTACTCTCTTTGGCTGCCAGGTTACACTGATGTTGCACAAACTGTTCTCGTATGGTTTAAATGGCTGGAATTTTTCTGGACAGATCTTGTATAAATGTGCAAAATAACCCAAAATAAAAGTGTGCAAAGGATATTAAGGAGCAAGTCTGAAAAAATGCAAATAGCTAACATATATGAAAAAACACTCAGCCTTACCAGTAATCAGAGAAATGCAGGTTAAATCAGTTAGATACTATTTTTCACATATCAGATTAGCAATTTAAAAAAAAAATTCCATCCTCAGGAAGGACATAATGAAAGGTACTTTCAGTGGTTACAGGATAAAGTTTCTTAGATGTCACTTCAACAGTGCCTACTCACATTTTTAAAATATATATCCTTTGACATAACAATTCTCCTAATAGGAAGCTATCCCACATAAATATTTGTATATGTGCATCTTACGTCTATGTTATTGAATATTGCTGAAAGATATTTATTTCGGCCTTGTGGTGCCTCAGACTAGGGTGATAGGCACATGAGATGGATACATGTGGCAGAACATTTGACACACTTAGAAATTCAGGTCAACAGGACTTGCTTTTGAGTTGGATGTTAGGGATTAAGTGAAACACAAGACTCAAGGGTGACTCTAGTTCTTGAGCATCTATGCTGGTGTCATTTTGCTGAGAAAGTGGAAGCTAAGGGAAAGGGGCTCATGATGTGAGAGGAATCAGGAATTCTGTTTTGGCCATGTTACATTTGAAATGTCTATTTAACATCCAAATAGATATATTGAATAAGCCATTGTATATAGCTTAGAAGGCTTGGATCAGAGACATAAATTTCCAAGTGATGAGTGTATTGATACATGGTATTTAAAAACATGAGGCTGGGTAAGAGCTTCTAGGAAGATTTTGGATGGCAGAAAGACCATGGACCGAGCACTATGTCACTCCAATGTTCAAAGGTTGGGGAGATAAATTTAGTAGAATAGGGGGCTAAGCAGACATTTTCTGTACAAACTTAAGTTTCAAAGAACTCACTACACATCAAATGGTGAAGAACCACATATTTACCATCATATCAAGAGCCCAATTCCTTCCAAGCCAGTCTTGTAAGGGATTCTAGCCCTTTTTTCTTTCTGAATATTTCAAACCACATTTAAACAGAATGATACTTTTTTCTTTTATGTTACATGTGGTTTACTCACAGTATAACTCTCCTAATATAAAACTAGGCAAATAAAGGAAGTACTCAGCAATGGCTTTTCAATAAAGTCCATAATCTGATAACTACCTCATGCCTAAAATGCTAAGGATTACTTGAGTCCAGCAGCTTAATTTGTGGCATCTTTTCTTCTTTCGGGCTATTAACTTCCCTGTTGCACAGTAACTTTCTCCGGCTTCCTAGTGAGCTCACCAAATGCCTAAAATATCTGACAATCCACACCCCCTCCTCTCAGTGCAACCTCCCTTCATACCGACCAGAAACAGTGTCTTTATATTTCTACTTTAAACTCAAAAGTTTCCATTCGGAGCATCATGTCTTAAAAATAGAGAGGAAGTACTTCCAACTAGGTCAAAGTTGTTGTCAGGAATGCAACCTCAAAGCAAAACTCAGCAGGAGGAAAACAATAATAATTGGGCCCATGGCAGCCTTACAGCTAGGCAGATAGGCAAAAGTCACTTAATTTCAGTTCCAAGAGACCACAAAAGAATGCCAGTTCCTAGAACAGTAATGTCATTCATTAATTCATTTAACAAATATTAGTAAGCACCTATATTCCAGGCCCTGTAATGGGTATTGGGGTTCATTGGTCAATAAAACAACCCTACCCACATGGAACTTACATTATAGAGGGGAGAGAGAGACAGACAGTAAGAAAAATGCGTGAAATATACACTATGTTACAGTAGAGTAATAATGTAGGAAAGGGGCACACAGAATGTTGGGAGAAGGGTTGCAAGTTTAAACAGGATGGTTACAGAAGGCCTCAATGAAGTGACATTGAAGTACAAACTCCTAGCTGTCAAATTTCAAGTGCCTCAGAAATGTGTCTTTTGTACTTTAATCCCACCATCACTGGAACTCAGGCTCTTGAAGGCATGGTACCCCGAGTTTCTACCACAAATATTTGTTAATTTCTCATGCTTAAATATTGTTAAGAGCCAAGATTCAGACCTCAACATTAAAGCTGTTATATTCTTCCAGGTGAAAAAACAACTAAGAGAGTTGTTAAGGGCTCTCCTGAGGTATAAACAAAATGCTTTAGGATACAGAATAACTGGTAATTCTGCTAAGGGGAAGGAATTTTATGTTCAGAAAGGCTGTCCCAACAGAGGTGACTTTAGAGCTAAATCTTGAGAGATGAATAGAAATTAATGGCAGGGGAGTGGTATGGGTGGCAAGTTATCTTTTCAGGCAAAAGAGGTGTAGCAGGGGGAGAGAGAGGAGTTTGGGCAAAGGCTCAGAGATGAGATTGGGAAGAACATTTTCACCTGGACTATCCTTCCCTAAGGCACTCCATCCATTCCACCACACAACAAGCAAACATTCCCCTTCAGGCTCTCCAGCCTGACTGCTGGGAAATCCTTTCATGTACCACATCCTCATTTCTCCCCTAGCCAGCAGGAAAGGAAGAAGTTGGGTCAGGCACACATCCCTAGAATCCAGAGTTATTCATTCCTAACTTAAGGACAATTACTATTGAGCTAAGAGCTTTGGAGGTTTCATTCAGCTGGCTATACCCAGGGTTGTGTATTTATAGTGGCAATGTGGCGATTGGATCCCTATTGGAAGCGGGATGGTGAAATGGGCAAAATACCAGTGAAGTAAGTGGTACAAAGTCTCCACAGGATATGCAGGGTGTAGTCAAGGACCAAAACTTATATATGGCTTAGCTTGGAAGGGAAATTTTTAATCACTTAATCCTCACTTGTGAGCTATTTAGTTTTACTAACATCTAATACAGCAGAGGTAGTGTGACAAGGGTAGGAACATACTGTGCAGTCAGATGACCCAGCTCTGCCCCTCATCTGTTGAGTGATTTGGGGAAAGACACTTAACCTTTGAGTCTCCTTTTCATCACAACACAGTTATAATCACAGTATATACTGCATAGAGTTATCATGAGGATTATATGAGATAATTATGTCAAGAACTCATCAAAGCACCTGGCTCAGTGGATTCTAACAACCATTATTAATGGCAGCCTTTAAGGGGAAAAACTCAGAAAGGATCATCCAGAATGCTACATATACTCACAGACCAATTATCCATAAACAGGCCTCCAAACTCCATTTCACTGCTGGGACCTATACAGTGTGTCTCCTGAAGCTGTGTTGCCAGAAATGTTTACCCCCCTGCCAGGAAAAGTCTCACAAGCCAAGTTGGTGGCCTTTTCCTTCTAGGATTTCCAGCAGGTACTGAAACATAAGCAAGTAAACAAATAACAACAGCAATAACAACTAACTGCAACAACAAAAGTTCCTCAGGGCCTCAACCCTTTGCATCAGACATTGTTCTCTCCACAAACCAAAGGGTAAACACATTAGGTCATTAATACCTTAGTATTAATAGATTTATGAGGTGTACAAGTAGGGATCTGGAAGCAAAAAAAAGAAAAGAAGCCAGTTAAAAATAAGACATCAAGGAGTACTGAAGAGTAATTTCTGCCACAAATGTTCAAGGTATAGGGCCAACCCTGCCAAAAGCCGTACACTGGAAAGCTAGGTCCTCTGGTTCTGAAGAAGCAGGGTACTGGGGGAGGAAAGGGTTAGTTAATGAGAAACAGATCACTTGTTTACACCACCAGAATTCTAACCAAATGATCTCACCACAACAACCAACCATTTTGTTCTCTCTTAAGGGCTGGAGGCATTCATCTAGCCCTTTATAAACCATCACAACCTGAAGCTGAAGGGTTCTTTGCTCTTTCTGAGGACTCTGGAGACTCTCATCCAGCAGCAGATCCCCAAAACCTGCTTGAAGGGTGGCAAGAAAAAGCAGTTCAGCTCGAGCGCACACAGTCCCATCCCCAGCTCCAAGTGCTGAGGGAACCCACTAAGGCAGGAGTGGGGCCAACTGGCCGGGGAGCAGCCTTACCTCTGGCAGGCCAGAGGAGGCTAGGGAAGACACCACCGGGACAGGACGGAGAACACACAGGATGGCTGGAGAGGAAGAAAAGTGACTCGACCCCTTCGAGGGCACAGTTCCCACTAGGAACTCGGCCCCACCTCCGCCCCAGATCCGGCAGATGGTAAGCCAGCAGACGGTAAAAGCCAGCCACTGCGCACAACTCCAGACAGGGGACACAGAGGAGCACAGCCCGTGTTTAGCGATGGGTGGGCTAAGTAAGGGGCCCAGGGTAAAGCCTACAGGCTGGGAGGAGCTGCCCAAGCAGACAAGGGGAGTGAGCTGTGGGAGCTGCGGTCCACAAAGGAAGCTAGGGGAAAAGGGACAGGAAAGACTGGGAGAGTGAAGGGGTAAGGAAGGGCGCAGGTTCCTGAGATGGGAGTGGAAGCACAGAGAAAAGGGGCTGGGGATCCGGGGGAAGCCCCGGACCTGGGGCAAAGGGGTGGCCTCTGGCCACAGACCTACCTGTCACCTTCAACAGGTGCCACCAGAGGGCGAGACTTCCCAGTGTCAGTTTCAGCGCACGTTGTAGGGCTGCGGGAACACTGCAACCTCTTTCAGGCCCTTCTCACCCTCCCGCTAGGCGGAAAAAGTTGCAACTTTCCCGAGTAGGGAGGAGCTGGACTCTTAAAGGGGCCGCACATACCTCTGGGCTCTTTGGTAGGGAACCACCCCACCCCAAGGGAAGCTGTGGGAGCCAAAGCCGTAAAGCACTGCCAAAGTGCCTTCCCGGATTAGGGGAGGGAGCTTGAGGACTAAGGTTAGGGGTCTAAAACTAGACCTAACCCCCGCTTCCCCTTTCATCTGCGGTCACTTTCTCAGATGTTAAATTGAGTGGCCTCTGCTACTCGACTGGGCCAAAAGTTGTCAAACTGTCATGCACTTTTAGGAAGATAAAGGCTCTAGACCATGTAATTTAGGAAGATAAAATATGATACCATACTGATGCTTTGACTTTCCATCTTTTATGTCAAAAAAGTGTCTATCTAAAATACAACGTCTGGGGCAAAGGACATAAGATTAAATTCACACACAGACACAACTGGGTAAAACGTGCAACCCATTATTCATCAAAGAAGCACAAATTGGAATAACATTCTTTCACAAAGGTTTTTTTGTTTGTTTATTTTTATAACACTTAATGACAAAGTGGCCTCTAGACAAGCCAGTAAGAGTGTATGTTGATTAAAAGCCCTTCTAGAAATCATGTGAGCAATATATAGTGAGACATTAAAATGTACATATCTACCCAGTAATTGTAGATTCCTGTTCCCGTCCTTCCTCTTTCCCTCTCTTCTTCTCATCAACATTAACCAAGTTCAAGTCCTCAAATGTCATCAGCAATTAAACATGCTCAAATGTCTACTATATTTTTTTAAAAATCTTGTTTACATACTAGGTACTTCCCCAGCTCCTCTTTATAAGAAAATTTATTGAAAATGTGCTTTACAGGTATATTTGCAATTTCCATTTCCTTTCTTCTTGCTCAGTAATTTGGCTCCCTTCCCTAATACCACACTGAAACTGTGTTCAGCAAGATACCCAACCAATGACCTCCATGCCAATACATACATACATACATACATACATACATACATAAGGCATTTTCCAGTCCTTACCTTCCTTGATTTCTCCCCTACATTTAATGCTGTTAATCATTTTCTTCTCCTTGAAAGTCTTCCTTTGGCATCTGGGACACCACACTTTCTGCTTTTCTTCCTACCACTTTGCCCTCTCCTCATTCTTTGTAGATTCCACTCTGCTATCTAACCTCAGAAAGCCAGACATTCTGAGGGCTAGGCTACTCTCGGAAATGACCTCTTTCACTCTTTTGGCTTTACTTAACATCTATATGGCCACAACTATAATGTTATATCTCTAGACCTTGCAAGGTCTATTTGAGCTCTGCTTTCTTGACATCTCCACTTGGATGTCTTGCAGGCATGTCAAATTCGACAAATCCAAAGATGAGCCTACCACCTTTTATTTTAAATTTTCTCTTCCTCCAGTGTTTCTTATCTCAGGATAAAAAACTAAGGCAGAAACTGGGCACTTAGCATAATACCTGATACATAGTAGGCCCTCACTAATAGTTTTATGATGAATGAATGTGTATTTTACACACTTTTGTACAAGGATATTAATTGCAGTACTACTTAGAATAATAAAATACTAGGGGAAAAACCTAATGGTTCAATGGTTAAGTAAATTGGTGTAGTCTCATACAATGGAATATAATAGAGCCATGAGGGATACATTCCAAGATTGCCAGGGTATTCCTGAAACCGTAAATAATACTGAACCTTATATATAAGCTTTTCCCTACACATACATACATATGCACATTCCTTTTCACTTAAAGGAAACACTTTGCAGCTTCTCTTTGGTATATTCCAATTGCCAGCATCACTACTCTTTCACTTTGTACATTACTTTGTACATTACTAAGTACAATAAGGGTTCCTTGAACAAACATTGTAATACCGTCACAGGTGATCTTATAACCAAAACAGCCAGAAATTTTTTTGAGATTTCAGCCCCATCTTTATTTTTTAAATATATTTTGTTGATTATGCTATTACAGTTGTCCCATTGCCCCCTTCATTCCCCTCTACCCTGCATACCCCATCCCACCCACATGTCCCCCCTTTAGTTCATGTCCATGTGTCATAGTTATGTTCTTTAAATTCTACATCTTCAATACTATTCATACCCTCCCCCTATCTATTTTCTACCTACCATCTATGCTACTTATTCTCTGTACGTTTTCCCTCTCTCTCCTCCTCCCACTCCCTTGTTACTAACCCTCCATGTGATCTCCATTTCTGTGGCTCCACTCCTGTTTTAGGAGTCCGCTTAGTTTGCTGTTATTTTAGGTGTGGTTGTTAATAACTGAGTTTGCTGTCCTTTCACTGTTCCTATTTTTTATCTTCTTTTTCTTAGATAAGTCCCTTTAACATTTCATATAATAAGGGCTTGCTGATGATGAACTCCTTGAACTTGACCTTATCTGAGAACCACTTTATCTGCCTTTCCATTCTAAATGAAAGCTTTGCTGGATAGAGCAATCTTAGATGTAGGTCCTTGCCATTCATGACTTGGAATACTTCTTTCCAGCCCCTTCTTGCCTGGAAGGTCTCTTTTGAGAAATCAGCTGAAAGTCTGATGAGAACTCCTTTGTAGGTGACTGTCCCCTTAGCTCTTGCTGCTTCTAGGATTCTCTCCTTCATTTTTATCTTGGCTAATGTAATGATGATGTGCCTTGGTGTGTTCCTTCCTGGGTCCAACTTCTTTGGGACTCTCTGAGCTTCCTGGACTTCCTGGAAGTCTATTTCCTTTTCCAGATTGGGGAAGTTCTCCTTTATTATTTGTTCAAATAAGTTTTCCACTTGTTGCTCTTTCTCTTCCCCTTCTGGTACCCCTATAATTAGGATATCAGAACATTTAAAGATGTCTTGAAGGTTCCTAAGCCTCTCCTCATTTTTTTGAATTCTTGTTTCTTCCTTCTTTTCTGTTGGGTTGTTCCTTTCTTCCTTCTGGTCCACTCTATTGATTTGAGTCCCAGTTTTCTTCCTATCACCATTGGTTCCCTATGCATTTTCCTTCATTTCACTTAGTGTAGCCTTCATTTTTTCATCTAATCTGCGACCAAAATCAACCAATTCTGTGAGCATCCTGATTACCAGTGCTTTGAACTGTGCATCTGATGGGTTGGCTATCTCTTGGTCGCTTAGATGTAATGGCTCTGGTCACGCCTGTTACATAGTGAGGGGTGGAGCCTTAGGTGTGCACCAGGGCATGTCAACCCAGTTGCTTGTTTGTGATGCTGTATGTGGGGGCGGGGTCTGAAAGGGAACCATGGCACTTGCTCCGCTATTGGATCTCAATCCCCTGCTTCCCCCAAGCAAACTGGGCCTTTCTGGTGCTGATTCCCATGTGGGTGGGCTTGTGCATGTTCTAGGACCATGGGAGTCTCTCCAATGAACTCTCCTGTGAGGCTGGGAGTCTCTCCCAGCACCTCAACCCCCACAGGCATTTTCAATTGGTGTTTTGAGGCTTTATTTCCCAGTGCTGGGACCCTGGGTTGTGTGGTCTGTCTCGCTCCTCATTTTTACCTGGTTTATCTGCATGAGAATGTATCCGCAGTCAGCCAGTGGCCTTGCATGCCTCACTGGGTCTGCCCATTGCCTCCCCATGCCTGGGGTCTGCCAGCCGCCACCTGCATGACCAGGACTGCCAACCACCACTTTTTCCTATCACAACCCTTCTCCACTGGCCACCAACTCCACCCCTCTTACTGATCTGGATGAATGGTTGTCGGACTTCCATACAGTTCAATTTTCTGTCGGACCTGGTTGTGGGGGCAACTTTGACCACAAAATCCCCCCATCCACCATGAATGAAAGTGAAACTACCAAGACATGATCTGCTTGGGGAGGAGAGGTGGCCAATTTCTCAGAGGAGAAAAGCCAAGAGCCCCTTCCTCCAGGGACTTTTATTGGGTTGTAATACACAGGAATAGAGGCAGTAAGGATCCAACAATAAGGAACATTTCAAAGAAATCTGAGGGCTTAGTCTGGGTCAGTGTCTGTAAATTAAGGGGATTGCAAAATCTTTGGGAGACATACTCATTTCCTGCTCGGACCCTTATCATGTGAATGAAAGCACTCTAAGCAAAGCAGGCTTCACAGGACTTTAGGAATTCTTCTTATGCCCGATCACCCTGGATCCCACTCTAGCCCAGAAGGGGTTGCACCACCTCCCCCACATAGGTTTTCAGGCTTAAGTGGATTAGAGCCAGGAAGTGCTTCTCCCAGAGGACATGGAGACTCAGGCTATGTCAGAATAGGCAGGGGGCAAGGGTCCATCACTCCCTCTTTGTTGCAATCCCCCAAGTCCTTCCATGATGGCCTCCCAAGTGATCAAGTTGGGCTTAGGTTGCCCCCCCTCTGAGGGGTCTTACCCGTCTTAGACTAACCGACCAAGCATTGGGGGCAGGGGACAAGCTTTGTCTCCTTAGTGGCTTGCATTCTGGAGGTCGCTCACTCAGCCTTAGCCATCAGGGGACAGTTACAACTCCTAAAACCAGGCAGAGCAATTCCCAACATCTGGGTTTTTTTTTGT